ACATTTAAAACAAAAAGAAAAGTGGGGTCGGTAGGGGGGAAGAACACGCAAATCGTACAGCACAATACCGGATAACGATATTTTTGTTCGCTCGCTTCAGTGAGCGAACAAAAAGCCAACGCGAAATTTTGCATCATTAAGCCCCAACTTCACCAAATCACGTCACTTGGCGTCACTGACCCGATCTTTGTTCATTCCGTATATTTTATTGGCGAAGCGTCTATCAAATGCATTAACGAGGAAATAGAAATCATTCAGTTCAGCGATTGTGTCGTGTTATCGTTTCATAGCTGTACCTGTACATTCTTTCGTGTGGCACAAAATGACACGAAATTCGGCAGACATCAGGAAAAAGTCACCCTTTACGGCAGTTCTTATAAACTCACTAGATGTTCTACTTTGATATTGTTACATGAAACAAATTTCATTCAGGCAGGCCACGCAAGGGCCCTTTTGCACGCGTAAAAACGCAAGGCACCGAAATAATGGGGCGGGTCTCTAAGGCATGGCATGTCTGCCAACAGTTTCAGAAGTAGCCATATGGAGATAGCGGGAATGTAATTTGAAAAAAATTAATAAAATTCACCGACAATTACGGCACTGCGAATTCTGGGCCCAGCTTCGTGTTGAGGCAAGGTCAACTGTGTTAGAAGTTCTGGCTTTCCGCAATGTATCGACTACGCCATAAATCGCAATTTTTTGTGAAGGAAGACAGCATCCACTATTCGTCTTTCTGGGGATAAGCGAGGTACCCGCTACACGTGTGATGAGCACCGTTTGTAGTTGTTGCATATCACAGATGACGATGCACTCTGCAGTGTAAGACAAAGATTTACATATTCGTTGCGCAATAAGCCTTCTGTGATGACTTGTGTTGCAAATTGTGCAGAGGACGAGGAGCGGCATTATCATCATCGGGGATTAGAGCAGTGCATTTGCAATAAAGAAGAGGTCGACGGGTGGGTTTCGCCATGGGCACGGCGGCTCGTCCTTACCTCAACATTCTGCTGCTGAAGAAGCAAAGGCTAGATGGCGGCGCCACAGATGAAGAGTGCACGTTAGCCTGTACTGCTGTCCAAATCCTTTGTGTCATGGCCTCCAAGCGAGATTGTCGAGCATTTAATACGTCCGCTATTTTATATTCCCCTCTGACCTTGGCTAGAATGATTTGGTGTTCATAAAGCTCTGCTTCCTGGTCCATCTCTGCTTCCAAGCGATCGATGTGAACTGCGTCTTCTACTTCCTTGTCCATTTCTTTAAGCAACTTGTAACGCTAATCGAAATTCGATGAATATATCGTAACTCACTTACTCACGGACGCTCCACTTGTACTAGACGTTCAATGTTGGCGATGGCTTCTGTGACGGCCTTGCGCACTTTATTCCGCCTTGCGAGCAGGGCCTCCATTATCCAGTCCGGCCTCCATTATCCAGGAAACGTGAGAAACCACTGGCCGGTCACGTCGCTAGGTGAAGTCGCAGTCAACGTGGTGTCCGTCACAAACGCTTCGCAGCACGAAGTCTCAAGCAATGTCGAGGTGTCACGCTTCTTGATCTGGTTCTCGGGAACGGTTTGGCTTCACCAACGGCGACTTCACAAAAGTCCTCGAGGCTACGACTGCGGTCGAAATTCGTGAAGGCCGCCCCGTCTCATCTCCGAAAGTCCTTCCTCCCGGGTTTCACGGCACCAAAATGTAGAGAAAAAGACGAACCGCCGTGCCCATGGCGAAGCCCACCCGTCGGCCCCTTCTTCATTGCAAATGCACTGCTCTAATCCCCGATGATGATAATGCCGCTCCTCGTCCTCTACACGATTTGCAACAACTTGTTTCGTAAGTCTTTTGCCACGCTATATTACATAGGATAACGCGATTCCTCGCCCGACTTGGCGCATGTATAGTGTCCTTGCACACGAGTTTCAAGCACCAACGTGGCTGTGTGGTAGAATACCCGACTTCCACGCAGAGGACCCGGGTTTCTATGCCATTCCATCCTGGCTTGTTGTGTTCTCGTTCCATTATTTTTTTTTTTCGTGTCTATCGGCGGTTGCGCCACCGACGGCGACGCCGCTCAACTCAGAAACGGGCGCCTATAGAGCTATGCTCTATAACATGCTGAATACATTGACAAGCATTTCAATAAGCCAATGACTAAATATCAGCAGACAGCTGCCCGTAAACGGGTGCGTATATATGCACACACTGTTAGTGTATTGTCCTCACTGAATGTAATTGTTAAGTGCATCTATACGTCGCGGCTTGCCTATAGAAAGCAATTAGCCCCGACCTAATCTACGATTGCCTTATATTCAGAAGGACAGTGCAAGTAATGAACCGTAAATATACAAATTCCCTTGACGAAAAAGCACGGATACTGCTTACTCAAATACACTGAATCGGCGAGACAACGATTGAACGCATATAGGGGAAAGACATTTTCTTTTCTACCAGTGTCTTTCCGTCGTTTTACGGAACGATTCGGGGCACTAATTATTATTCATTCCCCAACTCCCTACGTTATAAGTGACACATTTGTAGTGATAAAGTATAGTGATTACAATCGGCACCTAACTAGTGATATAGCAAACAAGCAAGCTTTATAAAATTCCGGCACTAGCACTAATAGCCGCTGGAGATGTTTATTGATTTCTTGGCTTTCACGTGCTAGAACAACCGACTTCTTTATGAGGCACGCGGGGGGGGGTCTTTGATTACTAGATACACCCAACAACAGCAGTGCCCTGTTGCAAACTCGCGGCCATCTACTTAATGCGCGCGTGCTCTTAAGAGCCCGAAGGCCGGCACGCGACACTGCCTTGAATAACGGGAAAGACCATTCCGCCGAAGGGTGGCGCGACGCACGGACACTGCAGCACTTCGCCGACATCGGGGAGCGCACTTCGCGTCGGCGCTCACGTTGTACTTCCGATGGAGTACTTCCGAAGTGCAACGGATGATGGAAAATGGCAAACACGGCAAACCGGCTGCTCGTGAGTCAACGACACCCCAACCTCTCCAGGAAATATATATATATAATCATTTAAGATAAGATATTTTATTTCAGACAACGACAAATAACAAGTGTACATTTGTCATGTTTAAGGCCCAAACTCCATAAGCGCGAAAATGCACGCGACAGCGCCGAGCGACGCTATGAGCGACGAAACAGGGCGTTCGCGCGACGTGTCGCGTGCTCGTTTTCGCGCGATCGCTCGGTTCTCCAGATTTGGAAACCGTCGCTCATCGCCCGGAAGTGCTGGGCTCAAGCAGCCAATAGCGAAATACCGGAAAAGACAAAGACTACATAGGTGCACGTGACCATGCCCGAGTCACGTATGCGCAACAAGAAATAACGCAATGTTTATTACGCATGCGCATATAAAAAATGCTGCAAGGCAATAATAAACACTTTCCGTTTCATTACACAACAGTATATCTTATTTTTAAATTGCATACCGCTCGCTACGCGGTTTTCTTGGTGCGAGTAGACGGCCTCATGCCAGCAACAGTGGAGATCGCTCGCCGAAGCCGTCGCGTGAATGAGGTTTGCCTGCGCTAGCGACTGATCGCGCGAAGCCGATCTACGTCGCGTCGCTCGTCGCTGTCGCGTGCATTTTCGCGCTTATGGAGTTTGGGCTTAAGACGGTGACAAAAAGGCACGAATGCCTGACTGAGTGTCACACCCCTATCTAGACGCATAACTCAAACAACAAAGGTGGTTACAGGGGCATAGGTGAATACATACATAAAATTATATATACAAGAAGAGACAAGCAGGCTTGCCCTGTCGCGCCGTGGGAATTCGCAGAATAGGGTTAAGGGTGAAGTACATAGCGAAACCATTCTGAACTCATGGACGGCAACTTACCCCTGCCCATAGTGTACAACCACTGTATTTTTTTTTTTTTTTCAGCATACGGAGCTCGAATTCGGCGATCATAACAAAGGACCTCGAGAAGACACTCGGGGTTCGATGGAGCGAAAACATGATAGACGTAATATTAAGAAAATGAGTCAGCGAACAAGCATGGGTAGCCGACATGCTTACTTCCACTAAAAGAAAAAAAAAAGTTGACCTGAGCGGACCACGTAATGAGTATAACAGATAGACGATTGGTTGGTGAGTACGAAAAAATGGATACCGTGGTATGGGAAACGCTCCCGAGGGCGGCAGTTAAGATATTTGTGGCGGTGACATAATGTTCGCAGACATAAAATGTGATCAGTCCGCTCAAGACAGAGTAGACTAGAAGTCATTAGGAGAAGCCTTTGTTCCGAAGTGGACACAGCATAAGCAATTCACTACACACCCACCTGTACAAACCGCCCCTTCTACTGAACATCGCCCATGGTGTGAAACCTTTCGCCTAAACGAAAGTACATACTCATCGATGAGAACGCGTTGCTAGATTTTGTTCAATTAATGCTGTATTTGCTTCTAAGCGCGTCCCTCACTAAGGCAAATATGTTGCAGACATAATACATCCTTTAAACTCAAAATGTAAAGATAAGAAACCCGCCCAGAAAAGACCAGAACCTCTCTTCCAACGCCTACGAAATCACGGAGAGCGACCAAAGCTCTGCCGCCTTCACGCTTATTTTATTTTGCGCGATGTTACAGGCACCGCCCAGACTGCACCAGAGGCCACATGCACAGATATCACATCCTGTGCGACCGTTTTCGAATGCAAAACGCTGCTCGCCGCAAGCACTAAGCGCTCCCGGACGGAATGATCACGCGAAAACAGGCAAACTTCTCCTAGAAACACCTCCGCCCACGCAGACGAGGCACGCGTTTCACGCTTTTATCCTTTTTTTTTTATGAGTGAGAGGGCTGAGATGTTTTGGCACCGCGCCTACAACCACGTGCGCCTACAACATGCAAATCGGGCGCCGCGCAGAACGAAGCCGGCCAGGTTGGTTGCCTTTTAAAGTGATGCAACAGGTGAGCCCCGCATGCGGTGGGAGCGAATGTGCCGACGCCATACGAAGGGCAACTCACCATGTGACGCTGGTGACGGTGACGTGAAGACGTGTATCCGCATGAAGGTGAATCTAATACAGCCGCCACCTGTTAAAAGCCAGGCGAATTTTTCGACGAGGAAACGAGGATGACCTTTCGCACACAACACTTCGGTTTGAAGCCGCTACACTTCACTTCAAAACACGCACGTAGAAGTGCGCCACTGCTAGTCGACACCGAACACAGATCCGAGTGCCTTTTAGCCGCAGATCATGAGTGTATTGTCGGATGACAGCACTCAATGGGCCACCACAAACACCAGCAAGAGACGAAAACTTCACCAGCCGTCCGCCACGGCGGCATCAGCGAAAGTGTTGCAGGTGGCGCCCCAAGCGGGGCGAGAGTGAAGCAAAAAAGTATACAGCGCATATTTCCGGTAGAGCCTACTCCGGCAGCTCGGGGGAGATCGGGTGAAGTTGCAGCGGCGGCCTGCAGAAGGAAAGCGTGTGAGAGATGCCTCTCTGCTAGCGACCGCGGACTTGTTGCTCATTCGGCGCTTCTTTCGCCAGCTTCAAAATCACCGCATATTACCGCGGCAGCGTCTCCTCTTTTGGCCAGGTCTTTCTGTGCTTGTGATGTGGCGCTCTTGATCTTATGGAAAAGAGTTTTGAATTTCTGCTTTCCATGTCTTGGATTGCTATAGATGTTCGCGATGAAGACGGTGGTTGATGTCTTCTTCTTTCGTGCACCCCGGGTTCCTCGTCCTTTGCCGCTAATCGCTAGCTCGGTGACGCACAGCTCGATGGCGGTGTCCCTGCTGCCCAGGAACTGTTGGTGTTTCACGTGGGCGATGCCTTTCCGGATGAACGTGCACACGCCCTGCGCCGCACCCTTCCCGCATGTGCGAGCGGACGGGGGGCAGGCGTGTGTCCGATACCCTGGCAGCGTCGGCGTGTCTTCAGTGTGGGTTTCTTGGACCGCTATCACGTCCGGGCGAGCCGTCGGTGCCAGCGATCTCAAGTACTGTTGTAGGATTGCTTTTCGGCACCGGAACCCGTTGGCGTTCCAGTGCCAGATCTTGATCTTATTGTTGCTGTCCATTATGAGGGAGAGCCTTTTGTGTTTGGCAATATTGATGCGCCGCTTCACCAATTAGCGGCTGCAGCTTCTCGGGGCTCAGGGCCCTCTCTAGCGCTTGCTCGATTTGGAGCTGAATCATTTGCGCAAGTTGCTGTTGGATGACTTGGGTGCATTTCGTGAGGATTCTCTGCTCGATGCCCTCAAAGCTCTTGCCCCATTTCTTTATAGCTCTCGCGTTCCGACCGATCTTCTTACTGAAGCTCCCGTAGCCGAGGGGTTTGGTCCTGTCTCCGTTGTTTGTAGTTGCCACCGAGATGACCGGAACATCGGTTGCTCGGGATACAAATCCAGACCTCACCTTTGCGATGCTGCCCGAAGGTGGCACCGCGAAGTGGAGGAATACGGGAATCAACCTGGGCAGCGATCACTTCATCATCGAAATTAAATTACCGCTGGCTCATCTCAACGGAAACCCGAACCGTGACAAAACAATAAAGCACAAACTCGTCGACTGGAGCAAGTTCCGTAACACAGAACTCGGCGAAGTCGACAATATCGACGAGTGGTCAGCGAAGCTGCTGGCGGCAACAGAAGGGGCCACAGAAGAGATCGATGCACCCGAGGAAATCGAAACCATGGACCCGAGACTAGCCCACCTCCTCAAAGCCAGGCGCTCGCTCCAAAAGCGTTGGCGGCGGCAACGTCACAACAGAAAGCTACGAAAGAAGATCGCAGAACTCGGCCGAGAGATCGAGCGACACAGCAGGCAGCTCTGCTCACAGCAGTGGTTTGCACTCTGCAGCCAGGCTGATGGACAGCTTCACCGTGGCGGCACTTGGAAACTCCTCAGGCAACTGATGGATGAGACCAAGAGCTGTGAATACCAACGTACACGCATGGCCCAAATTCTACACACCACCGCTCGTCAACTGGGCGAAGAGGAGATGTTCAAGCGACTCAACGAGCGCTACCTCCCCATCACCAGTCACGAAGATCACCCAGACTACGCCGGCCAGCCGAACCTCCACCTCGACCGAGATCTAGAGGAATGGGAAGTGAGGCAGGCGGCCCAGGACCTGAACTGTCGTTCGGCCGCCGGACCCGACAGAGTTACTAACAAAGCTCTACGCAACCTGAGTGACTCAGCCATCACATCACTGACACGCTACTACAACGAATGCTGGCGTAACGGCAAGCTGCCCAAGGCCTGGAAGACAGCAAAGACGATCCTGCTGCCAAAACCAAACAAGCCACCGGGTATAGAGGGCCTGCGTCCCATCTCGCTCACGTCCTGCGTGGGAAAGGTACTGGAGCACGTTCTTAACACCCGGTGGAACCGTTACATGGAAGCGCACCATGTCTACCCGGACTCAATGCTTGGCTTCCGGGCCAAATTGGGAACTCAAGACGCCATGCTCCTGATCCAACGAGAAGTCCTTGACCCACCGGGCGGGACCCCAAAGAATGACAACCGAGCGATCTTGGGCCTGGACCTGCAAAGCGCCTTCGACAACGTTAGACACTCGTCGGTCCTGGCTCAGGTGTCCCGCCTGGGGCTGGGCGCAAGATCGTACAACTACATCAGAGCCTTCCTTTCTCGCCGCACGGCCAGGCTGGAGGTGGGAGGAACGAAGCTCGAAGAACGAGAGCTGGGCAGTGTCGGGACCCCACAAGGCTCGGTCATCTCCCCGTTCCTGTTTAACATTGTCATGATCGAGGTGGCCAGGCGTCTGGAGGCGCTAGGCCCGGGGATACGACACTGCCTCTACGCCGACGACGTAACCATCTGGGCCACGGGTGGAAGCGACGGAGACATCGAGGCGGGTCTGCAGGCGGCGGTGGACGCCGTGGAGTCCGCACTCTTGGGCACGGGCTTGCGGTGTTCGCCACAAAAATCACAGCTACTCATCCTGCCACCACCTGGGAGGCACAGAAAGAAGGCAAGTCGAGAGGCGGCCGAGAACATCATCGTGCGCACCAGTGACGGTATGCAGATCCCGCACGTCCCGGGGCTTCGAGCCCTGGGGATGTTCGTGGACGGCACCCAAACCAACGCCACAGCGGTCAAGAACATCACAGCCAAGATGGGCATCGCAGTGCGCCTGGTCAAGCGAATGTCGTCCCGCTACCGGGCATGAAAGAGAGGGGGCTCCTGCATCTGCTGTAGGCTTTCGTTATAAGCCACGCGGCATATGCGGGGGCCTTTCACCGCTGGACTGGCGCGGAACGAGCCAAGATCGACGCTGCCATCCGGAAGGCTTACGCAGGGGCTCTTGGCCTCCTACCAGGCACAAAGACAACGGCCTTGCTGTCTCTGGGAACACACAACACGCTCTCGGAGATCAGCGAGGCCCAGAGAGCTTCGCAGCTGAGCCGCCTGAGCGACACAGCCGCGGGCAGAGGATTACTCGATCGGGTAGGATTATTACCTCCTGGAGAACGCCCGGGCGCAGGACCGGACAGGGAGCTAGAAAAGCAAGTCCCCCTGAGCGATGAGGCAGCGAGGAAAATCATTGTCTACCCGCTGCCAAAGAACATGGACCCAGAAAGGGACGCGGGCAGGCGAGCGGCGAGAGCAGTGGCGCTGGCCCGTCAACATCAGAGAGACGAGGGCGCAGTCTACGTGGATGCCGCAAGATATTCGGGAAGACGCAACGCCTTCGCAGCAGTGGTGGTCAGCGCCACTACCGGTAAACTACTAACAGCAAGCACCGTGCGCGCCCGAACAGCCGGCCAGGCAGAGGAGGCGGCGATAGCCCTGGCCACAGGTAGGCCGGGCACGCGCACGGTGCTAAGCGACTCAAAGCAGGCAATTAGGAATTTTGCCCGAGGCATGGTCTGGCGGGGCACGGAGCGGCTAGTGACGTCCATCGCGGCCTCGCGGGCTGCTCGCGGCGCCGCTGTAGGACCAACCATCGCCCTCAAATGGTTCCCAGCCCACATGGGACGACACCTGGCTCCCGACATCGAGAACCGCAACGAGGAGGCGGACGCTGTGGCCCGTGATCTCATCACGTGCCGGACCGCGGCAGCCCGTCTCCCTGAAACCAGCGGTGAAGAACGAGAAGACCTCGATCCCCTCACCGACTACGGAGGGATCCTGGCGGCCTACAGAGAGGCCAGGAGAGCCTTTCCGCCCCCGCATCGTGAACTGTCACGTGCGGAAGCAGTGAAGCTCCGACAACTGCAAACGGAATGCGTGCTAACGCCAGCATTGGCCCGGCACGTATGCCCCGACATGTTTGTGGACGCTAAGTGTAGCGCGTGCGAACGTGAACTAGCCACCCTCCGCCACATCATGTGGGGCGGGTGTAACAGTGGTGTGAACAATGGGAATGGGCAGTGCCAGGACGCCACGTATCCCGATGAGGTGGGAGCATGGATACGCTCCCAAGACTTAAACACACAACGAAGGGCCATCCAGCGGCTTGAGGAGGCCCTGGCAAAGCAGACGAGAAAGGGAACCGACGCCCCGGACAACGGGAGCGGAGGAGCCCGAGTATCCAATGCCTAGCCAGAGCACAACATCCTCAAGATCTAGAGCCTGGGACTATAGGACTATTAGCTATAGTTTTTAGATAGGGAATACCCGCGCCCTGCGCGGACTTCCCGCACGCCGGATGCACAAAAATGTTGTTTCTCTCTCTCTTTCGCCAGCTTCATTAGTCGTACGGTCGTACGTAAGGTCCTTTCGTGAAGACGCTGAGCGGGACGTTTCATTATGAATAACGCCACGAAGATGTTGGCCGAGCTTCTCGTAAAAATAAAACAGTAGCACCAATGTCTAAAATAGAGCCAATTGTTCCGCAAGTTTGCTGCAGCTCTTTAGGGCCTCAATGAATACTGCTGACGGGGCATTTTACAAGCACCGGAGGCTCCAGAAGTGGTCGACAGCTTGACCATCCGTGGACTATAGGTTGCTCCGGGGTGGCTCTCGGCCACGCCTCTTTAATGGACAGACGCTTAATAACCTAAGCTTAATGAATGCTCTCGCATAGCCGGAGATGGTTATCAATTAAACGAAGTGCCGTCAATTAACAATGACAAGTCCCAACGCATTATTTCAGTTTGCTTTGATAAGTGCGTATTCACGTAACAGAGGCAAAGAGAATGAAATGGCTCGAATTAAAAGGCCATTTCTCACTCGTTCATTTTAAGGCGCCTTAACATCTCAGAAAACGAGATACATATATTTAGCTTAGGCAAACTAGATACGTTTACGAGGCCGGCGAGTTAATGAAAGCCCATGCCTATACTTAAAAGCACCAAGCTCACGTTTGACCGACGTGCAGTGCGAATATTCACCTAAGAAACCGGAGATAAAACTTATCAACACTTTACGGGATGTAAGAGCACTCGAAACTTGATACAGTACCCCTTAAGACGGGTTTACGAAAACTAAAAGAGTCGTACATGAAGAAAACAGGCCGTCATTACGAAGGCTTGCCATCAAAAATTGGCCGAAAGTTAGCTCTTTTCCTTGTCTTCGTCATGTTTCTGTAGTCTGTATGCTGTTTGTGTATCATGCATTAACATGAAGACCATGCGTTTTAACTCTTTGCAACACGATGTTCACATATGGAGGCATTCCCGCAACTGTTGGCAAGGCCACGAACACTGAGCTTACGGTTAAATAAGCATTCGTGTTACCTAACGTTCCTTCATCCCTTTCGGACCCAAGGAAATTCCAAGAAGAAGGAAATCCGGTTGAATTTAATTCAGACTTACTTATTTTGCTCCTGAGCGTGCAAAGAAACAGCAAATAAAGTTAATTCATACGAAGTGTTGAAAAAAACCAAAATTTTTACTAATGACGCTTAACTAAGTAAAATTTACAGAAGTGATGCGCTTGTTAACCGCCATTTACAACACATATAGTAAATAAAGATTCATTACGATTTGATCAGTGAACCTTGAGTATTTCTACCACACATACTGAGTAAAAATAAACAACATAAATATTTACGAGGACGGAAAGGCGTTTGCTGGGAATTTTCAAACCCGCCACGCGTTATAGATGCCCGACGTGGTGCACCAGGTTATTCAGGTTAACTCTACGCGAGAAATGATGTTTGATGGCAAAAAAAAAAAAAAAAATTGGCAGATCCCAAGTGCCTTAATTGGGAATCGATGTTATGTGGACCAAGCGGGTGGAAGGTGACTGTGCTGTGAATTTTTTATTGAGTTAGACGTTGCGAAGTGACACTACAGATACTTTACAAGTGCACGCACAGAGACACATTATAAACATCCGCATATGTTTTATATAACCAGTTCTTCACAGTTGCGAATCGATGCCAACAGTAACATGGATATTCGCAAGACCAGAAGCAATAAGCAGATATGAAGCACTTATGTTCGGGAGGATGGTAGGCCAGGAAACTTCTTCATAAATCCACTTCAGCGGATTGCGCCTAACTAGAATTGATGTGAACCCGACGTGACGACTGGATAGCATACATGTACATTTGAAATGTTTAAAAAATTGGACAGCCAGCCCTCCGACGACTATCGATGTTTCACGAATATTAGGGTCTATTTGAGAAGTAGTTCCGAGACCAGGCAAGGCTCTGTGGCAGAACACTTGATTGCCGCGCAAACTACTGAGGAGCGATTCCATCTGAGACCCTGACATTCATTCTTTGCTCTCGTGGGGTCAACGCTGCCGATGTCACCTTTTTCTTGACGCTGACGTTTTAAATTTACCCATGTCTGTTCTCGCCGTTTTTGGGTAGATATAAATAGTCAATCACATTTGCACATACTCGCGTACCAGTGGCGCATGCCTACCCGTGGAAGTGTGCCACAGGTGTTCAGAGGAAAGAGATTGACGACATACGCGACGGGATTGTGACATTGTTTATGTCATTTGCAGAGAGTCATATTCATCAAACAATCTTACCCTTCCATACTGATTTTGGTTTACCCCTAGTTAAAGAGGTGATCACGAGTCCACCCAGAAGTAGGTGGATAGATTAGATAGATAGATAGATAGATAGATAGATAGATAGATAGATAGATAGATAGATAGATAGATAGATAGATAGATAGATAGATAGATAGATAGATAGATAGATAGATAGATAGATAGATAGATAGATAGATAGATAGATAGATAGATAGATAGATAGATAGATAGATAGATAGATAGATAGATAGATAGATAGATAGATAGATAGATAGATAGATAGATAGATAGATAGATAGATAGATAGATAGATAGATAGATAGATAGATAGATAGATAGATAGATAGATAGATAGATAGATAGATAGATAGATAGATAGATAGATAGATAGATAGATAGATAGATAGATAGATAGATAGATAGATAGATAGATAGTAATGAAACATTGCGCGTTTAAAATATTTCCTTCACAATTAGCTGTGCTTGCACGAAGCAATGGCCTCAAGTGGGGTAACCTGGTCCGGTTATTATTTATTTATTTATTTATTTATTTATTTATTTATTTATTTATTTATTTATTTATTTATTAATGAATACTGCAATTTCTACTAGGGATTTTCGCAGAGTGGGTTACATGAATTACATGAATGCTCAATATGCAGAGGAACAAATTTTCAAAACATGAAGATAAAAACACACAGAAACAAAAGTTCGCACAAAGCGACTCAAAATATACAAAAATTCGAACGTTTATGGGGACAGAGCTTAATTGGCATGCTATTTTAAACACTGTTATTGAAGCTAGAAGAAAACAATGTCAAGGATGGCTGTAAAACTTCGGTGTTGGTTAGTTTGTTCCAGTCGTTTATAGTTCGTGGAAAGAATGAATATTTAAAGCAGTTGTTACGGGTTGCATAGGGTGTTATTGTGCGCTCATGCCTTTGTCGAGTTGCATATCAGGACGAAAATGAAAGAACTTCAGAAATGTCTGTCTTGTAATGTCCCTTTACTAGTTGATATAGAAATGTTAGTTAGATTAGCGGTTTCTTTCTGCTAGTGTTGGTAGATTAGCTCGAGTTGAAAGTTCCGTAATTGAAGTGCGCCCGAAGCTGTTATAAATAAAACGAATGGCCTTTTTTTTTGTACTCTTTCTAGCTTGTTGATATTAGTTTTGGTAAAAGGATCCCATATAATGGATGCATAATCCAGAGTCGGTATAACTATTGTTTTATAAGCCAGAAGGCGGACGGAGGGGATTGAGAGTTTCAATGCTCTTCTGAGAAAGAACAGTTTATGCATTGCAATGTTAGTTACTGTAATAATGTGTTTTGTCCAATTCAGGTAATCTGTGATCCATAAGCCAAGATACTTGTAATGTGAGGCTTGGGAGAGTTTATTATGGGTAGTAGAGTACTCGTATTTTAAAGGATTTTTGATTAGTTATTTGCATAAATACAGTTTTTTTTTCGGAGTTAATAGTCATTTGCCATTCATCACACCAGGAGGAC